CTCTAGCCTCCTTGAGTATTTTTTTAAGTTTCTTATAAGAACAAAGGTCAACGAAGACCAGAACCATACTGACTCATACAGATTTGAAGTTTAATTCAGTATGTGGCAAAAAGCGTTTTACTTTTTAAGTAAAGTGTTAAGTAAGTAAGTGTTAAGTAAGTTAAGTGTTAGAATTGCCATGAGGAACAAATAATATTTTGCACAAAGCCAAAGCATTGGAATGTGATGTGGGAAACACTGTGTTGATGGTATAAGAACCACCTCTCTAGGGATCAGTAAAGGCTAACTGGCAACTTGAAGGTTGTCATTTTGCCAGTCTTTGAGGCAGACAGATGGAAATAGGAATGGCTCTTACAGAAAAGGGCCATCATTTAAAGACAGAGTCACACCGGGCTGGGGATGTTCCTCAGCTGGGAGAGTGGCTGGCCTAACATGATGAAGCCCTGGGTTTGATTTCCAGCACCGTATAAATGGGGCATGGTAGTGAATGTCATTAATCTCAACACTCAGGAGGTAGAGGCAGGAGGACCAGAAGTTTAAGATCATCCATCATCCTCAGCTTCATAGCAAGTTCAAAGCCAGCCTGGGATACATGAGACCCCATCTCAAAAACAAAGTCATAGGACAAAACATATTCTAAAACTTTCAGGTTGGTCATTACAAACAATATTGGCTTACATTTTGTTCTTTCTTCAGATAAGGTCTCATGTAATTCATACTAGCCTCTAACTCACTATGTTGCCCAAGTTGGCCTTGAATTCTCGAATCTTCTGCCTCCACCTCCTGAGTGTTGGGATTAGAGGCATGTGCCACAATATCTAACTCTCACCTTATTTTTTTTTAATATTTTATTTATTATTTCTATTTTATGTGTATGAGTGTATTCCCCTGCATGTATGTAAGTGCACCCGTATTGTGCAATGCTGTGGAGGTCAGAAGAGGGCTTCGGATTCCCCTGGAACTGGAGTTAAGGACAGTTCGTAGCCGCCACATGGGTGCTGGGAATCGAACCCAGGTCCTCTGCAAGAGCAGTCAGTGCTCTTAACCACTGAGCCATCTCTCCAGCCCCTCGCCCAACACTTGGAAGGCAGAGGCAGGCAGGCAGATCTCTGTGAGTTCAAGGCCAGGCTGGACTATAAAGCAAGTTTAGGCCAGCTGGGGCTACAGGGGACCCTGTTTCAAAAAGACCCCCCCCCAAAAAAAACCTTAACCAAAACTCAGAACTTAAAAATCAGAAAAATATCCCACATAAACCTGAATTTCTAGCTTCTTCTGAAAAACAGGACAGTAAGAGGAATTGAGTCCTCATCCCCAGATGGAAGCAGAGGCAGATGCCCCTTGTACTTGGGACAGCTTGCCACAGCACTTCCTCCTTGCCCCCCATTTCTTTTGTATTCAGCCCACTAGTTCCATTACCTCATATTTCTAGTCCCAAGCACTACGATTTGGTTTGCTTCCCAAAGATCAATCAGACAGCTGAAAGGAAGGCAGGGAAAGAGGGGAAGAGCCGGTGTGGTGGCCAGGCCTGTGACCCCAGCACTCAAGAGAGGCAGCAGCATCATGGCTAGTTCCAGGTCACCTGGTCTCCATAAAGGTAAAGGTACTGCCACCAAGCCTAACAATACAAGTTCAATCCCCAAGACCCACAAGTGGAAGGAGAGAACTGGCAACTAGAAGGTGTCCTCTGACCTTCACAGCATATAATGCTATGTGCATGTCTACACACAAACCATTTTAAAGCCAGATGTGGTGGTGCACACACACCAGTAATTTTAGCACTTGGGAGGTAGAAGCAAGAGTGAGTTTGAGACCAGCCTGCAATGTATGAGAGCTTGTCAGAGAGATGGGTAGGGAGAGGTAAAGAAATTGACAGAGGCAAATATTAAGAATGAAGATAAGGCTACCACAATTGAAGTGGGCCCATGAAGCCAACCTAGCATCTCCTACAGAAAACTCCCAACCAAGTAAGCCTTCCACACCTGTGGAATACATAAGAGGTAGTGAAGTGTGCACAGGCAATGTGCAGGGATGGAAGTAGGCACAGAATGCTAAGCACTTAGGAGGTTTCTGAGGGGGAAAATATCTCCAACACTTGGTAACCAGTTTGACACAAGGAATGAGAAAAAAAGCAAAGAATAATGTGCAATTTTTTGGTTAAGTCAAGTTAATGGATAGTGATGAGATCTCCAAATAAAGGGACAAAGAGGAACAGTATTAGAAGAAAAGCAGTAGTTCAATTTAGAATATGGCTGGGCATGGGGTCACACGGCTTTGATCCCAGCACTCAAGAGGCAAAAGCTGGTGGATCTTTGTGAGTTCCAGGCCAGCTGGGGCTACAGGGAGACCCCAGGGCAAAAGAAAAACAAAACAATTTAGAATACGCCAAATTTGCAGAGCCTCAAAACTTGCAGCTTCACCTCATAAGCCTCAATAAAATACCACGGAAAATCTCTCTCTAGCTCTAACACAGAAACTCTCTGAGGAATGGTTCATCAGAAGACAGCAAGAGAAAAGTAAAGATGAATGATTATGAAGCCAAGCATTAAGGTTTTTGCTCATTACCAGGAGTTTGAGCCTCAGGAGGGCTGCCTCCCCTAAGCCTGTTCTTGTGTACTGTGTAACTAATCTGACAGGAAAAGCCTCAGGAAGTAATGATCTTTGTTTTTGAGAGTTAAAGAAGTAAAAAACATCTCATGACAAGGCACTGAGCTGGGCATTATCTCGCCCACCCACTGTGAGAGCTGGCACCAAGTTCTGCATGTATTTAAGTGTACCACATACATGCAATGCCTGGGGAGACCAGAAGAGGGCATCAGATCCCCTGGAACTGGAGTTACAGAAGGCTGTTAGCCACCATGTGGGTGCTGGGAACAGAACCCAGGTCCTCTGCAAAAAGAGCAAGCAATCTTAACAGCTGGGCCATTTCTCCAACCCCCTAAGCAGCTTTTAAAATAAAATCATCTTCTTTGTCTCAGTACCATATCTCTTAACTTCACTGACCTGTCATGGGGGTTACTAGCAAGACTTGGTCCAGTAACAATTAGAGAGGACAATTTCAAGACTGAAAATATATCTCAGTGGCACAGCACTTGCCTAGCATGCATGAGGCCCTAGTAGCATTCAATCCCCAGTAGTATATCCACATACAAAAAGATGCTTTTACAGATTAAATACAAAGAGAATTGAAATTAAAGTGGAATATTAAAGAACTGAATAAACTGTTGCAACAAAGATTACAGAAGACCAGTAACTGCATAAATAAGAGCACAGTTACATGTATGTGTGTGTGTGTGTGTGTGTGTATGTGTATGTCACATAAAAGTTGACCAAGTCTCTCAACATAAAGGATATGCATTTACCTGCACTGTCACACTACGGGTTTACAACAAAATACATACAGGAGAATGCTAAAGTAGAAATAGCAATAACAATGAATTGCAAAGCACTTTTTTTAAAGCACCAGGAGTTGGATGTAGCTCAGTGATAGAGCTCTTTGCCTAACAAGCACAAGGCCCTGGGTTTGATTCCAGCACAGAAAAACAAAACAAAACAAAACAAAAAAAGCACCAGGAAAAGAAGTCACAGCTAGGAAAAAAAAAAAAAAAAAGAATAATGCAAAACATAAGCCCCTGCCAGGGAAACAGGGATGCACACATTTAATCCCAGCACTCTGGAGATAGGCAAGTGGATCCCTGTGAGTTCAAGGCCAGCCTGGTCTAAGTAGTGAGTTCCAAGCTAACCAGAGCTACAGTGAGACCCTGGCTTAAAACAGTAACAACAACAACAACAACAACAACAACAACAAAACATAAGCACTTTCCAAAATACTGTTGACAGTCAGAGTGAAAAGACTGGATAAGTTGGTGACTATACAGTCCATTAAGAGAAAACAATAATTCTTCATTCGGAAAATGACATTTTTGCATTCTTCCTCTCAAAAGTTTCATGACAAAAATTTTTCCAAAGAAAAGGAGTATAGCTTTATGAAAATTCACTATAGTGCCTCTGTTCCTCAAATGTCATGTTATTAAAAGAAAAAACAAACTACATCTCTTTATACAATGGCATTTGGGAATACAACTACAAGAAACTCAGCAAAGGATTTCATGATTGCCTCTTTGTGATACACCTTGATAGAACAAAGAGCGAAAAAACAACCACAAGTCACTTGACAAAAACAGCAGGGTGAGTCGGGGCGGAGAGGAGGGAGTGCTGAGAAAGTGGGCTGAAATGGAAGAGGTATACAGATTTCTGATGATCCATCCCCATTCACAGAAGGATCAGAGACAATTTGGAGGAAAGTCTAAGCTACATACCCTTCAAGCTCTAGCCCCTGAATTCTGGTAGGCTCAATAAAAGAAAAAAAGATAGCCGGGCTTGGTGGCACACGCCTTTAATCCCAGCACTCGGGAGGCAGAGGCAGGTGGATTTCTGTGAGTTCAAGGCCAGTCTGGTCTACATCGTGAGTTCCAGGACAGCTGGGGCTACAGGGAGACCCTGTCTCAAAAAGACAAAAAAAATTAAAAAATTTTAAAAAAAGAAAAAAGATAGGGTGAGGTAGAAATCGCTGTTTAGAGTCCAAACATTAACTGTGGTGGTGGCTGAGGATGGACCCAAAAACTTGAATGTCAGGAATACAGTATGGTTGACATTATTTTATAAAAAATAAGGAGCCTCATTTAAGGCTATCCCGTATCAGCACAGACGACCCTGTCCATAAAAGGCCACGAAGGAAATGAACTAAGACACAGAGGAAGCAGGGCAGAGGAGACGACTCATCCACACAGAAGTTTAAAGAGATGTGCATCGAAAGACAGTATTTGGTGGTGCACACCTTTAATTCCAGCACTTGAGAGGCAGAGGCAGGTGAACCTCTGTGAGTTCTAGGCCAGTCAGGTCTACACAGTGAGTTCTAGGCCAGACAGGGTTACATAGTGAGGCACTGTCTCAAAAAATCAAAAAACCAAACGAACAAACAAAAAGTATTATTTAGCAAAACTACAAGTGAAACAAAAAAAATGGCTTTTTAATTCAATATCACACACATATAAAAAGAGACATTCAGCCGGGCATGGTGGTGCACGCCTTTAGTCCCAGCACTAGGGAGGCAGAGGCAGGAGGATCTCTGTAAGTTCAAGGCCAGCCTGGTCTACATAGTAAGTTCCAGGACAGCTGGGGCTACAGGGAGACCCTGTCTCAAGAAGACCGAAAAAAAAAAAAAAAGACATTCAAAAATTATTAGAAAGAATTGAAATATCTAAAATAAAGGAGGTAGTTAGACTAGGATATTAGTGATTCTGTGCAATAAAAACTGGAAAGATGTTTGTAAAATATCTGAGTAACAAATTGTATACAAAGTGTACATACTCTGTGATGATAACATGTGAAGTGTATAAATGGGGGTCTAGTAAAACACTAGCTGGACCACAAAGGCAGCAGAGACCTGCCCTCGAAGAGCCCCAACCACTGGCACAGGGAAGGTACTCAGGAACAGCAGGCACAGGGAAGGTACTCAGGAACAGCAGGCACAGGGAAGGTACTCAGGAACAGCAGGCACAGGGAAGGTACTCAGAAACAGCAGGCACAGGGAAGGTGCTCAGGAACAGCAGGCACAGGGAAGGTACTCAGGAACAGCAGGCACAGGGAAGGTGCTCAGGAACAGCAGGCACAGGGAAGGTACTCAGGAACAGCAGGCACAGGCTGCAACTTCAAGATTAGCTCTTTACTGATCTCTGTGCTCAGATTTTACCCTCTTTACCTGCTCCATGCCCAACCTCAGCTCCAAATATTCACCCCTAGTTTATCTTCCCAATAGAACATTTTTCTTTTCCATCTTCAGTTCCCACAATAAACTGTGAGGTAGATATTAGAGGTATTATTAAATGACTGAGTAAGTGAATGGCTGCAAACTAAGCTCAGTAGAAGCCTTGCCTTCTGGTCTTCCAAGATGGACAAGATGCGTCTTCATTGATGCCCTTTAAGGTTTACCTGGGTAGGGCTTCCTGGATGACTGAGCAGGAGCAGGGACTAGAGGCCTGGCTTCTGTAGCCATAGTTGCAAGTGTTCCTTGCTTCTCGAGGCCCTGTGAGTGCTCAGCACAGGTCGGGTTGTCTGAAAGGAAAAAAGATGAACTTTCTAAACATACCCTTTCTGTTTGATTTTTACTTTAGGAACAACAGCTTAGCTGGCTAGGCCTTAGATAACCACACTCCCAAACCCTGGGTTTGGACAATCTCTCTTACACATGAAATACATAAAACTGATATATTATAAATATAACAATACCAAGCAGAAAGTCACTATACCATAGTTAGGAAAGACTCACTGAACAAGACCAGATAATGGTAACAGCAGGCCCTATATATCTATAGAGTGGAAGGTCCCTGCCACTGCTAAGGGGACCTGGACAGCCTTTGACACTGGTATGCACAGAGCCCTCCCTACCTCCAAAAAGTTCTGACATTACCATCCCAACTTTAAAAGGCTCCAAGGTGGAGCTGGAGAGATGGCTCAGGAGTTAAAAGCACTTGATGTTCTTCCAGGGGACCAGAGTTTGATTCCCAGCACTCATACTGAGTGACTCACAACTGTTTATAACTCCAGCTCCAGGGAATTGGATGCCTCTGGCCTCCATGGGCACCTGGACACACACAGACACACACAGACACTCAGACACACACAGACACACACACACACACACACACACACACACGTATTTAAAAATAAATCAGTCGGGTGTGGGGGCGCACGCCTTTAATCCCAGAACTTGAGAGGCATAGGCAGGTGAAAATCTGTGAGTTTGAGGTCAGCCTGGTTTACACAGTGAGTTCTGGGCCAGCTGAAGCTACAGGGAGATCCTGTCTCAGAAAGATCGCTCTATCTATCTATCTATCGATCGATCGAAATAAATAAACAATAAATAAAATAAAAAAGTCACCAGGCATGGTGGCACATGCCTTTAATCCCAGTACTTGGGAGGAAGAGGCAGGCAGATCTCTGTGAGTTTGAGGCCAGTCTGGTCTACGTAGTAAATTCCAAGCCATTTAGTGCCACATAGTGAGACCCTGTCTCAAGAAAACTAAAATAAAATAGAAAGAAGCTCCACACTAAAAGCTGAGTGCCTCTGGCTTTGGTGGTTCAATTTTCTCAATAGAAAAATTTTCAGAATTCCCCCCCACCAAGTTCATTGACTTTCAGCTATAAGCAAATTTAATACAATAAATACCCTGAATGCATTATAATCAGAAGAATGCCAAACCACTTTTTGCAGGTCTTTATTTTTGTGACAGAGTTTCCTAGCTGGCCTGGAACTTGACCAGGCTGGCCTTGATCTCAGAGATCCATCTGCCTCTGCCTCTGCCTCTGCCTCTGCCTCTGCCTCTGCCTCAGGGATTAAAAGTAACTAATATCTTCTTATTTATTTTTATTTTATGTATTTGAGTGTTTTGCCTGCATGTATGTATGTGTACCATGTGCATGCAATGTCCACAAAAGCCAGAAGAAGGCATCAGATCTCCTAGTGGGTGCTGGGAACCAAACTCTGGTTCTCTGCAAGAGCAGTCAGTGCTCTTAACCACTGAGCTATCACTCCTATCCTTCCTCATCTTTTACCAGCTGTCTCTATCCTGTGTTCCCAGCTGAGCTGTTAAGACTGTTCCGCCTATTTCCTGACCCTCAATTTGCCTAAGAACTGCCATGTTCAAATACTTGGGCAGATTCTACAACTTGGCAGAATCACCCCGTCTTTGGTTAGAATCACATTTCTATCTCATAAAATGTTGACTGGGGCTGGAGAGATGGCCCAGTGGTTAGAATGCTTGCTGCTGTAATCAAAAGAGCCTGAGTTCAGATCCCAGCACCCACATCAGGTGACTCACAAATGCCTGTAACTCCATTTCCAAGAGATCGGATGCCCTCTTCTGGCTTCCTCTGGCACCTGTGCACACACACAAATAATAAAAATTTCAATTTAAAAAATAAAATGCTGAGGGTCCTACACTTTCCAAGGAAAAGGCTACAATTAGCATATGCAGTGATTTGTTCCCAGACTCACTTTCAGGCCACTGCTCCTCTTTCTACACAGTACAGAGTCTCAGGAAGCTCTTCACCGACAGTCCTCTCTGATGCACCTACCTTTATCTTCAAGCATCTGGTGCAGCTTTGTATGTCTGTAGGCAGAGATTATCTGGAAATTCACAACACTTGGAATACTCAGTTCTTGGTCCTCTAGAAACTTTAGGGTGGCAGCATGAATGAGCTGGTGCGAGCGTCTGCAGGTCTGAAGTGTGCACTCGCCCCTGACGAAGGATTTGCATACGTGAAACTTGGTGCATTTATCCTTGAGGTTGCAGTAACCATAGAGGGGATCACCACCTTTGTTGTACAGCAAACAGACCTGGGGCAGAAAGTAGGCAATGCTTCAAATATGGGTTTTCACTGTATCTTTAAGCCAATAGACTATATCTTCTCTAACTAAACTACAGGTTAAATGGGATCTTCAACCTGATGGTTAAAGATGGAGGTTGGGCATGTGCATGTGAAGGCCAGGTCAATAATGGATGTCTTCCTCAATCACTCTCCACCTTATTTTTTGAGACAGGGTCTCTCACTGAACTTGGAGCTAACTGAGTCAGCTTGAGTGGTGGGCTAGCAAATCACAGGGATCCTTCTGTCTGCCTCTCCAGCATTGGGATAACATGTGTGTGTCACTTTTTAAAAAAGATTTATTTTATTTTTAATTATGTGTATGTGTTTGTGTGTGGGTAAGTGCACATGAATGCAGGTGCCCATGGAGGCCAGGGGGACCCAAATCTCCCTGAAGCTAAAGTTAGAAGTGGTTGTAAGCCACTCAACATGGGTACTGGGAACTGAACTCAGGTTCTCTGCAAGAGCAGGAAATGCTCTTAACAGCTATAACAGCTAAGCTATCTCTCTACCCCTCACATTGACTTTTGGTTTGTTTTGTTTTGTTTTTTTGAGACAGAGTCTCCCTGAAGCCACAGCTGGCCTGGAACAGGCTGACTTCGATCTCACAGAGATCTGCCTGCCTCTGCCTCCCAAGTGCTGGGATTAAAAGCATACACCACCATATCTGGCCTTTCTTTGTTTTGTTTTGTTTTGGTCACATCTGGTTTTACACTGGCACTGGAGACTGAACTCAGGTCCTCAGGCTTTTGAAGCAAACACTTTACTGACAGCCATCTCCCCAGCCCTGGCAGTTTGTGTGTGTGTGTGTGTGTGTGTGACAGTACATATGTGGCAGTCAGAGGACAACATGCAGGAATCAGTTTTCTCCTTCTACCATGTCAGTCCCTGGGATTAAAGACAGGTCGTCAGGCTTGGTGGCAAGCACATTTACCTGTCAAGCTATCTCTCCAACCCCCAGAATTTTTAAAATCAGTATTTTTGGTTTTTTGTTTTGTTATGCTTTTTAAAAAATTTTTTTATTTATTATTTTTATTTTATATGTATGAGTGTATTGTCTGCACCTATGTGAGTGCACCCGTGTCATGCAATGCCTCGGAGGTCAGAAGAGGGCTTCGGATTCCCTTGGAATTGGAGTTAAGGACAGTTTGTGGCCACAATGTGGGTGCTGGGAATCAAACCCGGGTCCTCTGCAAGAGCAGTGTTCTTAACCACTGAGCCATCTCTCCAGCCCCTTGTTTTGCTTTTTAGACAGGGTCTTACTATGTACCACTGGCTAGCCTGGAACTCACTATGTAGACTAGGCTGACCTTGAAGGGCCTCACAGAGCTCCACCAGCCTCTGTCTCCTGAATGCTGGGATTAAAGGCAAGTGCTACCACACTTGATTTAATCAACATTTTAATTATACATATGAGCTGTACATATTTATTGGGTATGTGGCATTACAGTACACACATAAACTGTGTATACACAACAGATCAGGATAATAGGCATATCTGTTACTGCAGACAAATATTTGTGGTAGGAACATTCAAAATCCTATTAGCAAGTGTGAAACACACAATTACTTCATGGTTAACATGGTTACCCTATGATGTGCTAGACTGTTAGAAGCTATTCTTCCTTTATGCATTAACCATCCTTTCATCCCTTCCTCCTCTATACCTTCCCTGGACTGATAACCATTTATCTATTCTGTTTCTCTGATATCAACTTTAGCATGTAAGTGAAGGCAGGTGGGTACTTGTCTTTCTGTGCCTGACTTATTTAAATAAGCTAAATACAAAGTCCTCCCATTCGATGTTGCTATAAATGACAGAATTTCTTTTTTCTTTTTTTTTTTTGTCTTTTTGAGACAGGGTCTCCCTATAGCCCCAGCTGTCCTGGAACTCACTATGTAGACCAGGCTGGCCTCGAACTCACAAAGATCCACCTGCCTCTGCCTCCCAAGTACTGGGATTAAAGGCGTACACCACCACATCCAGCCTGAGTTTCTTTCTTTTTTTAGCTTTTTATGCATTCCCATTATATAAATAAACTGTAGAACCCTGAGACCCTCTTCATTCACCTGCTACCCCCCAATCCCTCCAAATCCCCACTAATTGCTCTTTTAGCTTCTGTAAAATGTTTGGCTGCTGCTTTAGACATGCCTAGACATGCCCTGGCATGCCCTGACCCCCTCCTACTACCCCCCACTCCAGGAAACTATAGATTAAGCAAGCCCGGACATGAAACTGCCCTATAAGGTAAAAACAGAGACTCCTGGCCCCACAGATAACAGTCAGCACATTCCACAGCCCTGAGAATAGCACCCACCAATAAGGAACCTCCAGGGCTGCATCTTATACATCCAATCAGTTTAAAATTATGTTGGTGTGCGTGTGAACCAAAATATATCTTCGGTATCTTCCCCCTCCTCCCCTTTGTCTAAAACCTATAAAAAGCTCCACTCTCCCTTACTCTGGGCTCTCAGCACGGATCCGTTGAGTTGGTGAGGTCTGAGAGCCCGAGCTTAAGCCCGAATAAACCATAAACCTTTGCTTTTGCATTTTGGTGTGTTGGGTCCTCAGTGGTCTTTTTGGGGTCCAGTGGATGGGGTACAACAAAACTACATTTTCTCTATCTACTCATTCATCAACGGCCACAGAGGTTGATTCTGCACCTTGGCTATGGAGAACAGTGCTGCAATAAACACACAAGTGCAAGTGATTCCTTGACAAAACAAACAACATCTTCCATAGATTGGCATTTTATGTTAATACAGCAATGAATCAGGCTTCAGGGCTGACTGTATGGACCTTGGGAAAGTTCTCATTTCTTTTCCCAGATGTTTTCTGGGAATCTCAAAGGAGAGTAACAAGTTTGTTTACAGTAAAGATGGCTTTCCAGTATCCCTGGGATTTATAGCTTTATCACTACCATCAGGTAGACCTCAGGAACCACCCTGTGAGCTCACTTAGGCTCCTCAGCAAATCAAGCCATCTCTCCAGCCCCTAAAATGGGAACGTTTAGAGTATCTGGAACTAAATCATACTGCCTCAAAGCAATTCAAATTAACATCTAAATTGATGGTGGGAGGTGCATGTTTGTACTCCCAGTGCTTGGGGAGTGGGTGAGCAGGAGCCACCTCAGCTAAATAGCAAGTTCACTGCCAGCCTGGACTATATAGATCCTGCCTCAAAAGAACAAAATAAAACGTCAGTGAAAGAAACACCTGTAACAAATGTGGTTAGGAGGGCAGCTTCTGGGGACTCACCTCAGGTAAAAGGCAGGGGTCATTCTGTAAAAGCAGGATCCGAAGCTGGGCTTCATTAAGGCCAAAAATCCCATGTTTTTTCAGGACTTGGATGTTGATAGGCGTGTGGATATCGTGGGAAAGGGTGCAGGTAGACCTAGAATACCGAGTTCTCGATCAGAAGCCCAGGTGAGGAGGACACTGGTCTAATTCTTTGCCTTAGGCAGTTTCCAACTAGCTCGAGAGGTAAAACAACTCCTTAAAAACTGACAGACAAGAAATTGGGGCTGAGGCAACTCCCTTCCCTGGGGGTCATTTTCCTGTTTGGTGAGGATGTTTTAAAGCATCCTCCCCTCAGTCACCTGCCTAGACCCAGGTTATGCGTCCTGTTTTGTAGTGACCTGCACTTGGCCTTCTGCCCAACAGCTGCCAACCTCCCACTGTCCACCAGAAAGACTGGGAGGCTGCAAGGCCCTGGATTTAGAAGGGTTTGGGCTTTGTAGCTGCAGGTTCTTAGTGCATCCAGCCCTGGGTTTCCTGGGGTCCGCCTAGATCCGTTGGTTTAATCCCAGGGAGCACAGCGCCTCTCCTGTAATACACCGTGATGATGCGAGGAGAAAGAGGTGTGTACAGAGGGTTGATTCATGGGACCCTCAGATGCCCTCCAAAGAGGCACTTGCCTTTAGTGAACTCCAAAGTTCCAAAGTTCCGACGAGGGTTTAACCCGCCTTGTTTTGTGGAGCAGCCTGGACCAGGGATAGCAACTTGGCCGGGGGGTGGGGGATGTGGGGGGGTGGTGTGTTCAGAAGTAATTGATAAATCTCGGTGGGGAGGCCCTTCCGTGTCACTCAGGACTGCAGGAGAGCAGAGGAGTCCTGGCGGGGGGGGGGGGCCCCGCCTGCATCCCCGCTCCGAGGGGTACCCAGGTCTCCTCCTCCCACCCGCCGCCATCCTCTCACCAGCAGTCGCGGTGGGGACACTTGCCCAGCATGTGCCGGCGACAGAAGTGCAGCTGGTCGCAGGCCTGGCACTCGCCGCGCTGGTAACGGGCGCAGAGGCGCGCGGAGGACACGGCCACCACCCTACAGGCCTGGGCCCCGCCGCCCGAGCCGCCCGCCCCCGCCTCCACCTCGGCCTCCGGGTCCCACGGGCCGTCGCGCAGCTCCACATCCTGCAGCAGGAAGCGCTCGGGCCCGGCCCGCCGCAGCACGGCCCGCAGCCTGGCCTCCGACAGCTCCACGTGGCCGCGCAGGTCCTGCAGGAACATGCGGCCTCCGTGGGCGCAGAGCACCTTGGTGAGGAACGAGCACACGGTGACATCCGCCATGGCCCGTGGCGCCCGCTCGGCGCGCGCCGGCCCAGCCCCAGGTCCGCAGGCTCCTCCCCGCCGCGACCACAAAGGATCCGGGAGAAGTTTCAGGGATGGGCCACCGGAAAGCAGGCCCGGCGGGGGAAAGAAGGTCCCCGAAGGCGGTGGCTGGCCCGCTGCAATCCAGGCCAGGACCGCGCTTATGGAGCATCCAAAGTTCGGGGGTTTGAGGGGAGACCAGGGGCACGCATCCTTGAGACTGTTGCAGGTCCCGGTGAGGGCTGCAAGGAACCAGTGATGATAGCTCAGAGAGTGATGATAGCTCAGCCCCACCACCTGATTGCGATCTCTAAAACCCAAGGTGGAAGGAGAGAAAAGGCCTGACAGGTGCTCTCTGACCTCCACATGACACAATTACGCCTGCACTCCAACACATCATACATAGATACACGTACACGCAGACACGCACAAATAATAGTAATGCTGGTAAGGTAATAGGAGGTTGGGTGCGGGCCTCACTGAGGAGGTAGCCACTAGCCACGTGTGGCTGCTGATCGCTTTTGAAATGTAGTCAGGCTCAATTGAGGTGATATCGTTGAGAAACACCAGTAGATTTAGAATGAAAAAAAAAAAAAAGTAAAATATCTCAGTTTAGGGGCTGGGAATGACGCTCAGATGGTTCACTGCTTGCCTAGCATTAGCAAAATACTGGGTTCTATCCCCTAGGCTCACATAAACTGGGCCTGGTGGCAGATGCCTGTAATCCTAACACTCAGAAGGTTGAGGCAGGAGGATAAGGACTTTAAGGTCATCCTTGACAACACATTGAGTTTGAGGCTAGCCTGGGCTACATGAGACCCTATTTTAAAAAATTGTCAATTTTATATGAATCATATGTTAAGTGGATACTATTTGGGATATATTTGGATAGTAAAATGTTGTGACAGTTCTACCCCTTTCATTTACTTTACTAATCTATTATGAGAAAATTTTAAATTACATAAGTGACTCACTATATATTTCTCTTGGACTGCACCCATCTAGACCTGTACATTTATTAAGCATCTATCCATTTTTCTCAGCACAGTGTTTATTTAGTGAACATTCATTGAGCAGGCTGCTAATGTAGTAACAGTACAAGGATGAATAAGGCAACAAGGGGCTCAGCCAGCTTAATTGCTCATCTTATAAGGTACTTCTGAACACTGAATGAATTGATGACATGTAATGTAAGGCTACTAAAGAATTTTCAGCTGGAAGTTGATGTGATCCCTCTGCCTAGGTGTCTTTGTGGACATCTCTGGGTCATTCAGTCTGGTCATCAGTGTGTTCTCTTCAGTCAGGTCCTGGTAACTACCCTGTCTAAAGTAGATCCCTGGTCTCTATGTGGAACCATGCTATTAATATTTTTCTTTCTTCTTTATATGTTTGTGTGTAGGGTTCATGCTCATGAAAGCAGGAATTGTCTTTGTCTTGCTGATCTTTGGATTCTCACCACAAAAAAAGGGTCTAGTGACAGAAGCAGAGATGGACTGTTTGGGAATATCAACATTAAAGAAGCAGGTGGAGGATGTGAAACATCTGATGGGAACTGTCAGTAGCCCCTGTGTCTCTTAGGCACTGGACATCTATACTTGGACTCTCTGCCTAAGGCCTTTTTCAGCAGAGACTAGGCTTGACAGTAATAGAGACGCTGGAATACCCAAGGGACTCATGCCTACAGGAAAGAAAGTGCTCACCTAGGGATGTAAGAGAATTGATTTGAGAATTGTTTCTAACCAAAGACATTTGAGATTTAACAGATGCAGAAAGGAGACTTCTGGGAGATTATCTCTCTGAAAACAGAAGCGTCTAGAAGGAAAACCATCCAGATTCCCTCTCGGGTTGTTTGTGGAGGTAAAGAAAGAAGAGAGCCTGGTAGTTCACACCTGTAACCGAAACATTCAGGAGGCTGAGGCAGGAAGATTGCTGTGCATTCAAGGCCAGCCTGGGTTGCATAATGAGTTCTAGGCCAGCCTGAACTATAATGTGAGACTCTGTCTCAAGAAATAAAATAGTGAAAAGATATCCCCACATCTGCTTAGCCAAGCATCAATACAAATTTCTGTATCTCTAATGCATTCCCCTAGAAACCATTGGTTCTTCCCATAGGAGCCATTTTACCCGCCCCCCCCGCCGTGTCCTATTTATTTATTTAGAGACAAGAGACTCACTATGTAACTCTCTGTTTCCCAAGGGCTGGGATTACAGGCATGTGCCACTATGCCTAGCTCTCTTCCTTATTAAGCTAAGTATATAAGTCCTTATCTTTGGCTGTCTAGTGAGTTGCTTCTTTTGTGCATTCATATATATACAAACTCTTTTTCTATTGTCAGTTAAATTTGTGGCAATACACACTCACTGAACCCAAGAGGGTTTTCCTTCCTAACAATGGGCAGATATACTCACTTTTTAGTCTTCCTCTATGGAACAACTTGGAAGTATATGTTCAATAAAGGTTCCTCAATGGAAATGAGCCCCAGTTACCCAGGCCAGATCCTATTCTGCTCCTTTCCCCTTCCTAGTTACCTTGCAAAGAAACTTTATTATTTTATTTTTATGTGTATGAGTATATTGCTTGCATGTGGGTAGGTGCACCCTTGTCATGAAATGCCCACAGAGGATCCCCTGAAACTGGAGCTACAGATGGTTGTCAGTCACCATGTGGATGCTAGGAATCGAACTTGGGACCTCTGCAAGAGCAACCAGTGTTCTTAACCACTGAGCCATCTCTCCAACCCCTAGAAACTGCATTTAGTTCTTAACTGTTTGTTTCTGAGAGAGCCCAACCTAAGATGTAAACTGAGAGGTTGATTCTTGGGATTACCCTCTGAAGAAACTGCTCTCAATCTTTGCCTCTGAAAGAATCCAGCCTGAGATACAAATTGAAAGATAAAGATGCAAGTGAGAAAGAGAGGTTAGAGGAGAATGAGAGTCACATGGTCACACAGAAGAGAGAGGTTCAAGGAGAAAGTGGTCAGCAAGGTAAAAGACTGTCAGGAGTTTTCCTTCAAGGACACTGATGATGCTGAAAAGGCAAAACTAACTCCATTTTGCTCTAGCTGACTTTTGCTTTACCCTGTGTTTTTGCCCAGCCATTCCCACTGCAGCCAGCCAGGCAGAACATCTCATGCGGGTAGTTTCAGGAAGTACATTGTTTCTGTAATACTGGGAAACTTGCAAGTAGCCAGGTGGCACGTCCCTCCCAGCTATACCTGTATCTCTTTGGAGTCCATTGTTTCTGTAATTCTGAGAAACTTGTTTTTTCCTTATCGAAACTTCTTGTTAACTCAAAACCTCTTTGTTAACTGACCTGCTCCTGGTTTGGTCTAACTATGGCAATCTGATTATGCTATGGTTATTGACTTTGCCCCTGGCATGATATAATTGGGGTTTTAAACTTTATAAACCCTGCCCTGCTTCTCCTTGGGGTCAAGAGTTCTTTGGGGCATTAGCCCCCTCTCTGCCTGCTATTAATAAAGAACTCCTATTTGACCATCACTGTGTGGTATTCTGTGCATCATGCTTGGTATTACAATGTAGGCAAGTTTATGCCAGATGCTTAATGAGGCAGATTCCATTGGTTAAAGAATGAACTGGGAGATGGATCAGTGGATAAAGCACTTTCAGTGCAACTGTGAGAGATGGAGTTTGGATCCTAAGAACAGATGTAAAAGCCAGGCAAGTATGGTGGCCACCTGTAATCCCAGAACTTGGGAGGCAGAGACAGGGAATCCCCAAAGGCAAGCTGGCAAGACTAACAGAATGAGAGAGCTCTGGGTTCAGTGGGACCCTGCCTGAGTAAAGTGGAGAGGAATGGAGGAAGATGCCCAGCACCAATGTAAGGCCTCCACATGCACATGCATATGCATCCACACACACATGCACCCACACACAGGAGAACACACATAAACACATGCATTTACACACAAACTTCCAAAATAGAGTGAAAAGGTCCAAGAACTAAGACTGCTCTAAAAAATGTTATCTGAAATGTAAAGTAATGACAATTAGAGGCAGACTGGAGGTTGTAGGAAGCATTTTGTTATGGATGAGAGAAGCACAATTATGTATATCCATGGGGAGTGTCAGCAAGAAAAGAAAGCCAAGACAGTGGGAAAGAAGAATGGTAATTCAATGGATGAGAACTGAAGGGAGATCCCACAAAACCTGCCTGACTGCTTATAAACTCCATTCCTGCAGATGGGCCTTATTGGAGCATTGCTAGGCCCTGTTTCAAAATATGGTCCCAGAACACACCACCCCTAATCATGAAGTGATTCCTGTTGTGCAAACAAGTCCTTCCACCAAAAGAGACCCTTATGAGAACAGTGCAGACCCTAAGCCCCTTACAAGACATTTCATCCCTATCCAACCACCATAACTCTATTTCCACATACAAACACATTTAAACTTCTCTGCCACTTAACTGGCATGGCTGGCCAGCTTACCGTCCCACTTGCCACCCTTCATTGACTATAATAAAAGTCAATCAGGATTGTTAATGTTGATTGCTTTCTTTTGTACCTGCAACTCCTATTTCTAACAAGGACCAAAAGGAGGTGTGAGAGGATGGGATCCAATGGGAGAATTCACCTTAGATGAGAGGAGAAGCACCACCTACGTTCACATGAGAGGAAAGGAGGCAAGATTGTGTGCATATGCACAAGTTTGTAGGCTCGATCTCAAACTGAAAAGGAGCTGAAGAGATGGCTTAATTGGTAAAGCACTTACTTCATACACATGAGAACTTGAGTTCAGATTCCGAGAATCATTGTAAAAAGCCAGATACAGCAGTACATGCCGGACAGCCCCAGCACTGTGAGATAGGAGCCAGGAGGACCCCTAGAAGCTCAGGGACCAACTAGCCTGGCCTGTGTGGTAAAGCTCCAAACCACTGAGGCCCTGTCTAAAAAAGAAGGTAGAGTTGGGGCTGGAGAGATGGCTCAGCCGTTAAGAACACTGACTGCTCTTGCAGAGGACTTGGGTTTGATTCCCAGCACCCACATGGCTACTACAAACCGTCCTTAACTCCAGCTCCAGGG